TTTTTTCATCAGATACTGTGTACTCCCTTCTCTCCCCGCACCCCCGACTCAATTGCTGTCTTTGAATTTATTAAACATGAATTTATTTTCTTTTTTTTTTGCTTCTGTGCATTGCATAACTAATCTTTTCCATTGATCAACCTCTCACATTTTAACAAGTTCTACTGTTTTCCAGGGAGCTAGGTGTCCCACTGGGCCTGAAGTCAAGAAGAATCATCTCCTTGAGTTCAGACCTGGCCTCAGACACTTACCAGCTGTGTGACCCTGGGCAAGTCACTTCACCCTATTTCCATCAGTTCCTCATCTGTCAGATGAACTCAGAAGAAAATGGCAAACCACTCCAGTATGTCTGTGAAGAAAAGCCCAAATAGGGTCAGGAGAAGTCAGACAGGACTAAACAACAACAATAATTGTTTTCACAATCATGGATTTGTGGTATAGCTTGGAATTGGCAGTGATAATCACTAATTCAAACCTCTTTCTTTCCTCCTTCCCAGCCTCCATTATTACCCTTGAAGTGCTCGACCTCTTTTTAGACTTTTTTATTGATATTTACTGTGTCTGACATCACCAAGGTGTCCCATGTATCCCTCCCTCTCCCCATCCTCAAGAGCTATGTCATGTGACAAATAGTATTTTGTTGTTGTTGTTCCAGGGAGGAAACGTGAACACAATGGATCAATGCATTTGGGAAAAGGCGCTCAATGTGTAACACCTGTGGACCTCTCATGTCCTGGATGGTTTAGGTTAGTGGTGTCTTCTCCTGTCTACTTTTCAGTTCCACTTGAACTTTAACATTTTGTTACACATACATTAAATTTTTTGTATCTCATTCTTTCGTTGTAGTTACCGTGTATATATTCTGTTTTCTTGGCTCTGCTTAATTCACTCTGCATCTCTTCGCAAAGATCTTTCTTTACTTCTCCGTACTCATCACACACATAATTTCTTACTGCATGGTGGCAGTATTCTGTGCCTTTCATGTTCCAGGTCTTGTTTAGCCATTGCCCAGTTGATGAGCATCTACTTTGTTTCCAATTCATAGCTGTCTCAAAGAGTGCTGTTATGAGAATTTTTGCATATATGGGGGACTTTTTTTTCTTATTGATGACTTCCTTGGGGTGTAATGCAGTCATTGTTTTATAGATTTTGTGGACATTTTTGTTACTTTCTTTACAGAATTCCAAATTACTTTCCAAAAGAATGTGTCATCTCACAGCTCCACTAGTAAGGTACTAGTGTGTATATATTCCCACAGCATTGTTTAGGTGTCAAAAACATATTTGTGCCATAAAAGGAATTGGATAGGACTCCTTCTTTACCTGCTGTTTCATATAGTTTATAGAGTACTGGGATGAAACGTTTTTAAATGTTTAGTAAAATTTACTTTCAAATCCACCTGGTCCTGGAGATTTTTTTCCCAGGGAGCTCAATTATACCTCATTCAATTTCTTCTTTTAAGGGAGGGTTATTTAAGAATTCTATTTCCTCTTCTGTTAACGTGGGCAGTTTATATTTTTGTAAGTATTCTTCCATCTCACATAGATTGTCACTTTTGCTGGCATAGGATTGGGCAAAATAACTCCTAAGCATTGCTTGAATTTCACCTTCATTGGTTATGCATCCCTCCTATGTAAGATAGATTGCTACACTCAACTGAATAGGTGTTATTCCCTCTTGGAGCGAAATCCATTGAGAGTAAAGTTCAAGCAATGCTCAGCAGTCTCCCCTCTTTCCCTCCATTGTAATTGCTCTTCTGCACCTTTAAATGGGATATAATTTACCCCATTCTTCCTCTCCCTTCCCTCTTCTCCCAGTGCAACTCTCCTTTTCACCCTTTAATGTTTTTGTATCATCCCATCGAAGTCAATTTATATTCAGACCCTCTGTTATTGTAAACTCCTTCTAACTGCCCTAACAGAAATACAGTTATTAAGAGTTAACAAGTGTCATCTACCCTGTAGGGATGTAAACGACAGAGTGAATGACTTACATTCTTGCTTTCCTCTTCAACTTTTTATGGCTCTCTTGTGTCTTATATTTGGAAATTGAATTTTCTCTTTAGCTCTGCTCTTTTCAAGAGGAATGTTTGAATGTCCCCTATTTCATTGAATGCCCATTTGCCCCCCTGAAAGATTATATTCAGTTTTACTGGGTAGTTGATTCTTGGTTGAAATCCAAGCTCTTTTACCTTCCAGAATATCTTATTCCAACCCCTCTGACATTATGCATGTTTACTCGGTGTGTACTCTGGCCTTTGGGAATCCATAGTGATAGCAGTAACTTAACCCCTAACTGAAAAATGTTTTATTGATGCCCTTTAAGGAAACCAACTGAACCCCTTCTTCATGGAAGGAATGTTCCCAGTAGCTAGCTTATGGGGCAACAAAATCGGGAGGAAGCTCCTGGCTAAAGACCTTCAGGAAATCCTTGTATTTTGGTGAGAATTCCTTCTCATTGTTCCTGAAGGAAGTCTGTTTGGTTGAAACAAAAATCTTGGGTGTCTCCTGAGCATGCTTAGAGTCCTTTTCCATGGGGAAGCCTACCTTGGCTGGAGCTCCATACGGCACTTGTTTTGTATGGACATAACCACCCAAATACCACCTCTACAGGGTACAGCCTTGCCGTACCTCTCAGAGTCATGCATCCATCCCTTAGAACTCTCTGCCTGTCAAATCAGGGGGAGCCTTTCCTGCTTCCCAGGCCCCCTCCCAGAAGATGGCTTCCTTAAAGTAGCCACCCTCTTAGACAGGGCCTAGTGTAGAAAGGGCCTCTCCTGTTTGTGCAAAAATGGACAAAAACAGACATTTTCCAAGGATGCTAACAAAAATCTACAGAATGAAGAAGCACAGAGATCAACACCTCCTCATTAAAAAGGAGGGAGAGGATTGAGAGATGTTCTCAAGGTCCATATCAAACAAGTTTAACACTGACAGGAATACTTGTGGAACACAGAGATATAGCACTTCCTTTAGCAATAGTAAAAGTAGGTTAAAAGAAATCAATAGATATTCATCCCTGGATGTGTCCAGTGTATGTGAAAGTGGTCAGTCTCTGGGGGAAGACTATAAAGTAGCAAAGATCCAAGAGTGAAGTCCAGATGCACTCAGTAGGTGACATTCCACAGGATTTCAACCAACAAGGTGTGTATACAGAGAACCCCGAAAAACGTGCTGGTCACGTGGGTTCGTTTGTAGAAATGGAGGGGATTTCTGATGACAATCCCATATAAGGTCATTCTGAGGAGAAAGTATAGATTGTGCTTAAAGAGGCCATATGTAGCAATCAGCACAGACCACGGAAGGAAGTGGTAGAAACTGAGCACCACTTCACTGCAGGTTGTAAAACAATAGTACCTAATCAATACTTAGCAAGACATGAACTTAGCAAAGTGGAATTATCCCTCAGAAGCTCAATATCTTTCCAAGGAGAACAGGTGAAATGTTGATGTTACAAATGCAGATCTCAGCATATCCTTGGGAATTCAGAAACAAATTGTACTGGAACTGGAACTTTGTCACGAAACAAAACTATTGGCCCCATCTCCTAGTCATGCCATTGATCCATAAAAAAACCAAGAACAATGTGGGGGTTTTTTTGGCTTTTTTTTGAAGGCAATTGGGGTTAAGTGACTTGCCCAAGGTCACACAGCTACTAAGTGTCAAGTGGTAGGTCTGAGGCTAGATTTGAACTCAGGTCCTCTTGACTTCAGGGCCGGTGCTCATCCACTGGGCCACCTAGCTGCCCCAAGAACAATGTTTTTAATAGCATAGCAAGTGTTCCTAGTCTCTAAGTTGCATGGATGAAAAGCTTGCAACATATACAGACCTAGGGGAAGAAATGAAGATCACAGGGGAACAGCCTGAGGAACATGTGATCCCCACAGTCCTGTCTCCTCCTAGAATTGTCCTAAAGATGTATTCCTGGAGCCTGCAGCAGAGAAGTTAATATCCCAATACTTTTATTGAGTTACAAAAGACAGTAATTCTGTGCAGTGATCTGAAGAATGTTAAGCAGAAAAGAATCAATGGCATGATATGTAAACTGCATCAAAAAACTAACAGAGATGAATAATAATGATAAGAAGAAGAAAGACTTCTATAGTGCTTCATGGTTTGAAAAGACATTTGCAAAACATCTCCTTTAAACCTTACAACCACCCTGTAACTTACTCAGCCTAGGTATTATTATCACCTCCATTTTACAGATGTGAACATTGAAGTTTAGAGAGTTTAAGTGGCTTGCCTTTGGCCACACAATGAGTCTAGGTCTTGTGTCTCCAATTCCAGGCGTCTCTCCACTGTGCCAATTCACTAATGGGAGGGTATCTGGTTTTGGAGAGAATGAAACCCCAAATCTGAGAGAGTTTTAGAAAGAAAAGTATGAAGTCCCTTGGTGGAGGAGGCTGAGCCAGAAACGAGGGTGTGGCTCCCTCTTGTCCAGGCTCTGGAAGGTTTATATTATGTAGCATTTAGACCAGAGAACCCGCACATGAATATCGGGGCAAATGTGCTGCTTTCCTGAGTGCCCCCCTATCCCTCCTAGCCCAGCCTGATCTTTGTCTCCTCTTGCCTGGACAAAGGAGGCTGAGCCGCACCCTTTCCCCGGACCAGCCCTTTCTTTCTCTGCTCTGGAAGTTGAGAGGAATCCAAGGGCCATTCAAGGGTTGCTGGTTTGCAGATCTTGCTGCAGCTTCTGTGCTCTCCCCTTTCTTGGAGCCCAGGACAGCCCTCCCTCGACCTCCCCCTTCCCTTCCTTCTTCCCCCTCCCAGTGTCCCTAAAGGGGCCCACCTTCAAGAGCTCCTAGCTGAGCTGAGCTGCTGCCCCCACCCCCAGTCCCAGCAGCTTGCTCTCAGGAGCCTGGGAACCGGATCAGCCCCAGGGCCACTTCCAGATGGAAGACGCACCTGCGGCCCACTTCCCTGGTCTGTTTGGCTGATGGGGGCAGAAAGAAATGACTGGTGGGGGGCTCCCCACTTATCTGAGGCTGATGTCACAGAGCCTTCTCCTCTCCCTCCGCCCTTCCCCCTCTGCTCTGAGAGACTAGCCCCGCCCTACAGTGACGTCACTGTACCCACCCTCTCTCACCATCTTGGAAGTCTTTGTCTCTGGTGGAGGCTATGAGTGGGGTGAGCAGCTGGAGGTCCGAGTGCCCCCCCACTTTCCTTCTCCACACCCCTCCCCTCCGTTACCCCCATCTTCCAGACTGACAGATCCGGAGGGTCCTGCAAGTGTCGAAGTGTCTGTGAGCGAGGTGAGTGCCCCCTCCCTGCTCCTGCCTCAGCCCCTCCCTTTCTTCTCCTTCTCTTCTCTCCACCACAAAATTTTCATGAAGCCGAGGACGCCCCCTCCGCAATTTGCTTCTCTTAATGATCAGGATGTGGTTTCTAAGGGTGAGTGGAAGGTCCTGGGAGTATGGATACCTTTGTTTATGCCTGTGTCCGTAGGTAGGATCGTCTGGGGGGGGGTATGAATGTTTCAGTGTGTGTACGTGTGTATGTATGGGGGGGTGCTCCGTGTGCCTACTCCCCCAGGGCTGCTTCTCCCTGGAGCTTCCTGCCTTCCCAGGCCTTTGTGTGGAGGTCTGGGGCTTGGGGGGTGGTGACGTGAAGTGGAGTGGAGGCCAGCAGGGAGAAGCCTTTGGAGACACTCCCTGCCTCCCCCCCTCAGGTGGATGTTTCCATCGTTTCTTCCTCCCTTCCTCCCATCCTTGGCTTGGCCTTGAGGCTGGGGAGAGAGGACACAGTCTAGGACCTCTTCCCCTCCCCTTCTCCTTGTCACCTCTTTTGTTTGGTGTCCTTTACTTTAATGGTATATTGATTTTTTGTTCTGGTTTCCACCAGGGCCTGGTGAATGGGGAGTTTCCACGTACTTTGCTGTGGAACAGAAAGAGGGGACTGTTCCTGAACCTGCGGATCTCTGTGATTTACAGCCTGAAAGAAAAGAGTTGTTTTAATGTGCACTTCTCTAATTACAAGGAATTTGGAGCATTTTGTCTCCCGTTTGTAGAGGACACTGAGCCAGAAAAGAGGATGTGCCTCTCTCTTGTCCAGGGTCTGCAAGGTTTATATTATATAGGATTTATGCCAGAGTACCCTCACATGAACAGCCAGGGCAGACAAGCTGCCTCCCTTGGTGCCCCAATCTCCCTCACCCCCTTCCCCGCCCAGATCTTTGTCTCCTTTTGGCGGGAGAAAAGAGGCTGAGCCCCGCCCTTTCCCCAGACCAGCCCTTTCTTTCTCTGCTCTGGGGATTGAGGAATCCAAGCGCCATTCAAGGGTTGCTGGTTTGCAGATCTTGCTGCAGCTTCTGTGCTCTCCCCTTTCTTGGAGCCCAGGACAGCCCTCCCTCGACCTCCCCCTTCCCTTCCTTCTTCCCCCTCCCAGTGTCCCTAAAGGGGCCCACCTTCAAGAGCTCCTAGCTGAGCTGAGCTGCTGCCCCACCCCAGTCCCAGCAGCTTGCTCTCAGGAGCCTGGGAACCGGATCAGCCCCAGGGCCACTTCCAGATGGAAGACGCACCTGCGGCCCACTTCCCTGGTCTGTTTGGCTGATGGGGGCAGAAAGAAATGACTGGCGGGGGGGCTCCCCACTGCTCTGAGCCTGATGTCACAGAGCCTTCTCTCCCTCCGCCCTTCCCCCTCTGCTCTGAGAGACTAGCCCCGCCCTACAGTGACGTCACTGTACCCACCCTCTCTCACCATCTTGGAAGTCTTTGTCTCTGGTGGAGGCTATGAGTGGGGTGAGCAGCTGGAGGTCCGAGTGCCCCCCCCACTTTCCTTCTCCACACCCCTCCCCTCCGTTACCCCCATCTTCCAGACTGACAGATCCGGAGGGTCCTGCAAGTGTCGAAGTGTCTGTGAGCGAGGTGAGTGCCCCCTCCCTGCTCCTGCCTCAGCCCTCCCTTTCTTCTCTTCTCTTCTCTCCACCACAAAATTTTCATGAAGCCGAGGACGCCCCCTCCACAATCTCTTAATGATCAGGATGTGGTTTCTAAGGGTGAGTGGAAGGTCCTGGGAGTATGGATACCTTTGTTTATGCCTGTGTTGTGTCCGTAGGTAGGATCGTCTGTGGGGGGGGGGTATGAATGTTTCAGTGTGTGTATGTATGGGGGGGTGCTCCGTGTGCCTACTCCCCCAGGGCTGCTTCTCCCTGGAGCTTCCTGCCTTCCCAGGCCTTTGTGTGGAGGTCTGGGGCTTGGGGGGTGGTGACGTGAAGTGGAGTGGAGGCCAGCAGGGAGAAGCCTTTGGAGACACTCCCTGCCTCCCCCCCTCAGGTGGATGTTTCCATCGTTTCTTCCTCCCTTCCTCCCATCCTTGGCTTGGCCTTGAGGCTGGGGAGAGAGGACACAGTCTAGGACCTCTTCCCCTCCCCTTCTCCTTGTCACCTCTTTTGTTTGGTGTCCTTTACTTTAATGGTATATTGATTTTTTGTTCTGGTTTCCACCAGGGCCTGGTGAATGGGGAGTTTCCACGTACCTTGCTGTGGAACAGAAAGAGGGGACTGTTCCTGAACCTGCGGATCTCTGTGATTTACAGCCTGAAAGAAAAGAGTTGTTTTAATGTGCCCTTCTCTCATTATAAAGGATCTGGAGCATTTTGTCCTAGGGCCTTTGATAGTTTGGACTTCTTCCTTTGAAAACGTGCCTGTCCTTTGACCTAGTAGAGAATGGCTCTTATTCTTAGAAATTGCAATCAGTTCCTTCTTTGTCTTGCATGTGCAACAGGCCTTAGAGATCTTTACTGTAAGGAAGATTTTCTTCACTTAGTTGTTACCTTTCTCATTTTAACCGCATTTAATCTGTTTGTGCAAAAGCATTTCAACTTTATAGAAGCAGAATCATCCATTTTATTTTCGGTGATTCTCTCTATTCTTTGTTCTTTCATAACCTCTTGCCCTATCCATCAATGTGAAAAGTAATTTCCTCCTCACTCCTCTAATTTGTTATCGATTCCCTTTTTATACCTGATTCCTGTATTCATCTGTGTTTAATTTGATTGGTGGCGAGAGGTGTTGATGACCTATCAAATTTCTGACAAACTGTTTTTCCTTCTGCTGTCTTTTTTTTTTTAACTATATAGTGTGTCTTCTCCCCCCCCCCCCCCCCGCCCCAACTACTATCTATGGATTTCTTAAACACTATTTCGTTTTATTTGTTGGCTTCTGTATATTGCATACCTGATCTTTTCAACTGATCAGCTTTTCAATTTTTAAAAAGTTGAAATTGTTTTCTCGGCAGCTAGGTATTCTGCTGAGCCAGAGTCAAGAGGAATGATCTCCTAGTGTTGAAATATGGTCTCAGACACTTACTATCTGTGTGACCCTGGGCAAGTCACTTCACCCTGTTTCCCTCAGTGTCTCATCTGTCCAATGAGCCACAAAAGAAAATGGGAAACCACTCCAATAGCTTTGCCAAGAAAACCTCAAATGAGATGAGGAAAAGTCACGACTAAACAACAGCAATAGTTATTTTCATAATCACAGATTTGTAATATCGTTTGGATCTGCTGCCGATAATCACTAAGCCAGACCCCTTTCTTTCCTCCTTCCACTCCCTCATTATTTCCCTTAAGATGTTTGACCTCTTTCTGAATTTTTTTTATGTTTTTTGTTTCTGATGTCATCAGGGTGTCCCATGTATTCCTCCCTCTCCCTATCCTCGAGAGCCATGCCATGTGAGGAATGGTATTTCTTGATTAGGAAGGAAAAGAAAAGTGAGCACAACTGATGGATGCATTTGGGAAAAGATGTGCAATGTGTAACACCTGTGGACCTCTCACCTGGATGGGGTAGGGTGATGATGTCTTCTTACATTTCCTTTTCAGGCCCACTTCATCTTTAATGTTTTGTTAGAGGTACTTTAAAAATTTTGCTGTGTCGTTCTTTCTACTTCAATTGTAGTTACTGAGTATATATACTGTTGGGTTGGGTTTTTTGTTTTTACTCAATTCACTTTGCATCAGTTCACAAAGGTTTTTCCATACTTCTCTGTACTCTTCCCACACATCATTTCTTCTTGCATGGGAACAGCATTCCATGCCTTTCATGTTCTTGTCTTGTTCCATGTCTTATTTAGCCATTCCCCCCTTGATGAGCATCTGCTTTCTTTACAAATCATACCTGTCACAAAGAGTGTTATTATAAATATTTTGGAATATATGGGGACATTTTTCTCATTAATGGCTCCATTGGGGTATAATGGAGTCTTTGTTTTAGAGGCTTTGGACATTGTTCTTTGCAGAATTCCAAATTACTTTGGAAAATGGATGTGTCATTTCACAGCTCCTCTAATATTAGTTTGTGTATATCCCTACCCCCCTGTTTAGGTATCACAAACATGTTTGTGCCATAAAAGGAATTTGATAGGATTCCTTCTTTACCTGTTGTTTCAAGTAGTTTATATAGTATTGGGATGAATTTTTTTTAAATGTTTACTAGAATTCACTTTCACACTTGATCTGGTCCTGAGAATTTTTTCCTAGGAAACTGATGTGTGCCGTGTTCAATTTTTTCCTTTAAGACAGTTATTTATGTATTCTATTTCCTCTTCTGTTAACATGGGCAGGTCATGTTTTTTGTAATTATTCATCCGTTTCAAATAGATTGTCAGTTTTGCTGGCATATGTTTGAGCAAAATAGCTCCTTAGCACTGCTGTAATTTCATCTTCATTGGTGATGCATTTACTCTTTTGTTTTTGAAACTGGTAATTTGGTTTTGTTCTCTCTTTTGGTTAATCAAGTTACCCAATAGTTTATCACGTTTTTTTTTGTCTTTGTTTTTGTTTTCCTTTTTTTGTTTTTGCTTTTTGGTGAGGCAGCTGGGGTTAAGTGACTTGCCCAGGGTCACACAGCTAGTAAGTGTCAGGTGTCTGATGCTGGATTTGAACTGAGGTCCTCCTGACTCCAAAGCCAGAGCTCTATCTACTGCACCACCTAGCTGCCCCTGATTTATATGATTTGTTAGTATTTTGATAAAAGCAGTACCTGCTTTTATTTTTTAATTTGATTTTTGAAAGAAAAACTTCTTAATCTCACCTTTGACTTACAGATTTCCATGTTGATGTATAATAGGAGATTTTTCATTTGTTCTTTTCTACTTTTATATTATTCGTGCCCAATTCTTTGACCTATCCTTTGTCTGTTTTATGGATCTGAGCATTTAGAGACAGAAATTTCCTCTTAAGTACTGCTTTGGGTGCATCCCACAAATTTGGATCTCTTGCCTCATTGTTGTAATTCTTTTTAATGAAATTATTGATTGCTGAATAATGTTTTGTTCTTTCACCCATTCATTCTTTGAGACTGGATATTTTACTTTTCAATTAATTTTAATCTATGCTTCCATGTCTCTGTAATTTATATTGCATCGTGGTCTGTAAAAAGTGCATTTAGTATTTCTCTTTTTTCTCCATTTGGTTATGAGGTTTTTGTGCCCTAATACATGTTCATTTTTTGAGAAGGTACCATTTACAGCTAAGAAAAAGCTACATTCCTTTCTATTTCCATTCAGTTTTCTCCAGAGTTCTCTCATGTCTAACTTTTCTATATTCCTTTCCTCTCTTTAACTTCTCTTTTTATTATTTTATGCTTATATTTGCTTAATTCTGAGAGGGGAAAGTTGAGCACTTAGTATAGTTTTGCCATCTCTTTCCTTCTGTATGTTATTTTACTTTTCCTTTAAGAAGTAGGTCTAAGCAAGAGTAATTATTAATGATTATATTTATATCTCCTATCTGTAATTTTCATCAATTATTACTATATTATTTTAACTCTCGTGTCTAATGCATGTATTCCTTTATAATTTAATTTGATACTTGGTGTGAGGTGTTGATCTCTTATCAAATTTCTTCCAAACTGCTTTCCACACGTGCCATCAGTTTGTTGTTTTTTTTATGAACTACTGGCAATTCTTGTTTTGTGTAAGTGGACCATTGGACAAGCCTGTAAGTAGAAGGATTTTGAAGTAATTTGAATTTGGCCACAGATGTGATTA